AACATTAACTGAACAGAAAATAAACAACAAGGTAGCTTAATTATAGTAATTACATCCAATTTTATGCCAAAAAACTGTATTATCTATAGAAAACAGCTAACTAAAATTATCTCCATAATAAAGTATTTATTTAATCGATAAGAAACACATCTTATGTGTATTATAAATACATCTAACAGATACTTGGTTCTTAAGTAAATAGAGATTTGTTTTACCAAGTTTCTTCCTAGAGTTTGTTCAATCTTCATAGCAGATGTCTCAACAATTATTTGTTGATTATCTTATTCAGTGCCAATTTAAGTAACGTAATGAATAATGGTGAACTTAATTGGGTCTATTTGTATATGATTGATCATTTAATATTAGCTCCTTCTGATTGGCTAAAATTATTTGTTTAGATGCACTTCATGAAAAATATAATATTATTAATAAAATGCATTTTTCTTAATGGCCTTGTAAAATGATAATTAAAAAGTGAATGTCAGTTCAACTGAATCATCAATTCATACGAATTTTTGAAAATTCCGGTTAAATTTAATCTCACTATCTCATATTCTATTCTTAAGTGTCGAAATACCTAACATCGTAGGTTTGATATATAGTTGTAAATAATGAAGTAGGTAGATTTGTATATTAATTTCAATAGTCATAGCTCAGTTGGTAGAGCATCGGGCTGGAAACCCTGAGGTCGCTGGTTCGAATCCGGCCTCGGTTCAAATTTTCATTTCACCTTCAATCATTACCCAGTATCAATACTAGTCTGCCAAACTATGGCTATCTCAGATAGTCAAATGATAAACAATATGATACTCCCCCTCTCTAACTGAGATCTGGATTGCGATCAGAAGTCCTGATTAAGCAGTTAATGTGAGTACGATCAAGCAATAGTAACCAGTCACGAATTCACATGGTAGTCGGGTGGAACTCATGGTGAATGAAGTGAAATCAAAAACAATCTAGTCAGCAGTCGGACCCTGTAGCGCAGTTGGTGTAGCGTAGGTAACGAAAGATGGTAGTCGCTGGTTGGAATCCGACGGCTGTCCAAATTTTCATTTCACCTTCAATCATCACTCAGTATGAATTAATACTTACCAAACATGTGACAAGTCTATTCCTTCTTTTCTGTTCACAGCATTTGATGCTGTCAAAATATTCACGGCCTCTGGAGTTAATCTTTCTTTATGCGAATGGAAACGCTTTTCCAATATGTCTGCATTCTCATAGTCAATCATCTGTTCACTATCGATAGCTTTTCTTAAAATTTTCAGTTCATCAGAAGATGTTACGCATTTAACTTGTGTTCATTCACTCTCACTTTTAATGGTCTACAACTTTCTCCAACATAATTAGCTTCACATTTTAAATATTTGATTTTGTAGACATTGTTTCTCTGCGTCATTTTAGGAATTGCATCTTTTACTTTGACAGAGAACTTTTCTAATAAATCTGATGGTTTAAAATAGACTTTAACACCGCGCGAAGCTCATACTCTTTGAATTCGGTCAGATGTACCTTTCCGATATGGGATCGTAATAGATGATGTCCATGTTTTTGCTGTACCTTTGTTACTAATAGTAGTGGTAGTATTTGCCGTTTTATTTGTTTGATCGATAATGTTGTTCAAGAACTTTTTGAGAGTATCCATTTTCCATTAAAACATCCTTCATTTAAGAGATTTCAAAATCTAAATCATTACGATCGGTTGTAATATTTTTCGCTGTGTTTAGTAGGTTCAATGTGACACTAGACTTTATGTTAGTTGGATGATCCTATTGGAAGTCTAAATATTTATCGGAATGTATTGGTGTTCTGTATATTTTCATACTAAATTTACTTTTAGTTGTTCTTTGGATCAGATAATGTAAACACGTCGGGATTATAATAAAATATGTTCTTATATGATTCAATCAGACTCGGCGCCTAACTTCTTCCAGAACATTCGTAACAATTATGGTCTGGATGCCTATAATTAATTATGATCTCTGAGATATATCTGTTTATATCACCAAACTGCTTCCATCATGGGTAGAATTCGCTTGCTAGGAGTTCTGTATTGATTACAAATAATCATCTACTATTGATTTTATATGATATAGATATTTAATAACCTGCTGTAGAGGTTTTTATTTTACTATAACATTTGGAATTAAATGGAGTCACAACAAAAGTTTAAGTGAAATGGCATGAATATCTTTCGTTTCAAGGTTCCCCATAAGCTACTTACAGCCTGAAGCTGTAATAGTGCAAAAATATTTAGAGAAAAAGGTGTTTGCATACTTTATTCAGTTTGACAGAGAATTATAAGCTTGAAGAAATAACAACATTGATGTTACGTAATTAAAGTCACCACAAATGAGTGATTAAAGTTACAGCAACTCACAGATTAGGTTGTCTATATGAAAAATGACTCGACGAATATTCTCATAACAAGAAACAAAAGTTAGTCAGCAATATGAAACAAACATATTCTGGATACTATATACGATGTAAATAGATTAAAAGAGACTAAGTAATTTATACCACCTAAGGAAATAAAATAGAATGAGGTCAAGAATGTGAAATGAAGAAAAACATGTAGGCGTATAAACTTATAATTGTATGCCAAGAAACATTACAATTAGTAACAACAACAATAGTAATAATAGACAGTTGCTACAGTAGGAACAAAGTACTAAGTGTTTTTCTCTGAATATATAAATTCGATTTTAATCGCTCCGTAGTTACTGATTCAACGAAACTCTATAAGTTTAATTATCAAATTCATGCCCACTAAGCTTCGACTCTTCACAAGTATTAACAGCCTTGAAGAAAGTCAGATTAGACATCCACATTAAATGTTAGAGTTATTTCATCCTAAAAACATTAAAATTACGATTATAATTTAGATCGAATGGCATTAGACAAAGATAGGAGGAAGACTTCTGTAAGAACGTCTATGACACAGTTGAACAAGAATGAAGAGAGTGGATGTCCTTGACGAGTACCACTTGAGGTACACAACTCACCTGAGATATCAATGTAGACTCTAACTCACCTACAGGTGTTGGAATACAGATCGTCTTTCTATCTAAAAATCACCGTCTTATTGTGAAATCAATCGCCTAACACCAATGCTGTCTTTGTTTCAATAACGTGAAAATTCCCATCTACACATTAAGAAAACAAACAATTTGAGCAGAGAAATATCTCTTTTCAATGAATTCCTCATAAATAGCACCACACTAATATGTAGTATTTTCGACCGATAAAATAACATACTGGTCTAATGATGATAAAGGGTTAGTATCATGGGGTAGTTACAACAGTATTTAAGATATAAAATAATTACTCAGTAAAATCTGTAAAGTTTTAAGCAGGTTGTTACACAATTAACAGTCTGTATAAAGGCGACTTACTAGAAGAGAGAATGAATAATTATGTTAAGTGGCCGATTGTTCACAATAATTAGATTAGAAAAGTTGGAAACAATAAAGAAGGAAGAACAATGTAGCTTAAACTTTAAAAACATTAACCATTAGTGAAATGAACGAGGAGAAAGCTCATATTTGTACAAGTAAGTTATACAGATGGTCAAGGCAGAAAAGTAGGTTTTACAAATTTCTTCTGAACACAGGCTTGACTTGTTCAAGCGGATTTCTATGGCTTCTGTTGTATGTAATAGACGAAATTGTATAGTATTGGTGCTATTCGAAGAAATGTGGTTATTGTCAAGGCATTATGAATGCCAACTCGGTAGCCAGGAGTGTAAGCACCTTGATATTAGGACTGCTCTTATTCGTAAGCTGATGATGATAAGCTATGAAAGCGAAGATTTCTATGCTTATCTTCTAAAACTGTTCTTCTAGCAGTATTTAAATTTAATAAGAGGGCTAACTGTACAAAATTTCTTAGGTAACACGGAACAAAAATGGTTTAATATAAACTTTATTCATTTGATACCTTTTTCTGGCTTTATTATTCCCCTTTCATTAGTAAATCTAAAGATTAGGTTGGCTGGTTCCAATATGATTGGAAATGATATCTAGATTTGATATTTCCCCTGATTTCAGATTATTCATCATTGTATACCTGGATCCTTGTCAATGTCATTACTAACGTTGGAACTCGAACTTGTTACTCGTCGCTTCAAGTGTTAGATACTTCTTACTACGCATATCATTTGCCATAGTCTTTATGTAAACCTTATTATTATTCCCAATAACTAATTTCATTGGAGCAAATCAGTTCGTATATGTTAGAGCATGAGATACATTATCAGGATTCCATTATAAAACCCAGCACTTCTAAAAGAAGAGATGATTGTCTTGGCCGATCAGTTTAGTAAGTAACACTAATTATCTCAACCTTGATAGGTAATGAACTTTATTTACAGGCAGATATGCATACTAAGTAAAATACAAGGATATCAAGTTGTGAAGTTTTAGGTGGGAATGAAAACTTAAACTAAAGTTTTGACTTCAACTAACAGGTAAATTAGGCTTCGAATTTAATCGATAACAATACTCAATTTCCGTATCATCCAAAAGAACTCCAATTTGGCAATGAGAAGAGATGATCACTGTTGACAGTCAATGATAACTGAACTGTTTAACGAGTTTACAGGAGCTTAAAAAAGCGGATCACTGAATTTTAACCTCATGGATAAATAGTGGTGTACTTGCAGTAACATGTGACGGTTCTCGACTCCATTGCTCTTAGGGTCAAAGGGTCTCATGATTTCAATCCTTTTCAGCTGACATCATTTTAGGAAGAAAACTAATGTGAAATCAAGTAATCCTAACAAAACTTGTCGTAATTTATATCATAACAGTTGATGATTAGAAAAGTACAACTTCGCTTAACTCCCTATATTTCTGAATACTGAAGAAATAATTTATGTTATTAGATAGTTCACAAAACTCTTTATCTTCTAATCCATTTTTTATATTGATATAAAAAATTGAATAACATATTTCTACTTTGCAGTCATAAGTTTTTCTATACTCCATTTTAATTCCTAGATTCAAAGACATGAACAAGAATTGATCAATGAACTGCATCATTTCATTGGTGAGCGTAATATGCGTCAAATACAAAATCAACCAGATCAAGAACAATATATTGAAATAGCAGAAAATTTATTTAAAGATATTGCTAGTTCATTAGATAATCAGGATATGGAACTTTTACTGACTAGAACAAGTTTATATGAAAAAGTTGCTGAATTGAACCAGTTGAATTTAATTACTGATAAATTTAATCCAATTACATCACAGATATATTTTAGACCAGGTGCTGTAAATTTGGGTTATCTAACAAGTGAAGCACCTGTGAAGAACATTGGTGATGTCGACGGCGACGACGATGACGATGACGATGATGACGATGATGATGATGATGATGAAGAGAACTATGAAGATCTGTCAATGCCATTAGAGGACGCACCATCATCAAGTAGTTCGGCTACATCGTCATCTTTAGAACTAGCTAACAGGTGAGTTGTAAAACAATGAAGTGAAATTTTTTGGGATTCCTTTCCAAGAGATGTTGAACTTTAGCCGAGATGGCTCACCGCCAATGTATTTTAAGGACGATATTTAGTGACTTCAAGTTAAATATAACTAAAAGACAACTGGTTAAGGCCAAGTATGTGTTTTACTTGAGTAGAAACATTAGCATTGATATTTTTTAACCACGAACAAGACTGAAATGGACAAATGGACACTTTGGAATTGGCAAATGTTGTCTTTATTTCATTTAAGGGGTAAAAAACAGCTGCAGAATTCCAATGGTGGTATTTATCATATGCTGACAATTGAAAACCTAGCAGGACTGGACAGCTATTTCGTCCCAATATGAGTCCCGTGCTAGGACGAAACTGCTATTTTATCCCCCCATGTTTCCAATGATACTCCGAATGACGTCACTCTGGGATAAATACTACCTTGAAATCAGTCAGTCCCCATAAACCTCCAAATTGAGTTACTAAATTTTAAACTAGAAGACAGTTACTAGTTAAACGACACTTTGATTGATATCAGTCGAGACTGAATAAGATGTCTTTGAGTATCTGCAACATCAATTTGAAGTCTAATATGTTCTCTTTGGATCCTAATAGTCCTGGCTTTGATTTGCGACTCTCACTGATGTTAGGATTCAGACGAAGTGAACATCTACCAAGCTTGAATTTAGTTTGGTATTCACTTAGTAATACTTCATAATATCAATCAAATAAAATGGCATTCTCCCAATCGAATTAAGAATAAAATAGCTAGTAGTAGTAGTAGTATTTGCATGATAACCTGAAGGACCATAATATTAGTTGTTGTAGCATGAGACAGGATTAACGAATAAAAACAGTTACATTTGGAAATATTTTTCCTGACTTCACCTGCTGACATACGCTGATTTTATATGAACAGCAACAAATCACCACAATCAGTAATCAGAACTCACTGTAATATAGTCTATAAGTAACAGTGTTGGCAATTTTAGCTAATTTTCTTCAGCTGACTTTGAATTCAGTTGTGAAAAATAAACAAATTACTTGATATGAATGGTATTTTAAAACAAAACGTAGTCTATACCTTCCTCTTAGTAAATGGCTGACAAACTGTCCAGGATCAGTTTAATGATTAACCAATTAAAATGATGAAAAATATGGAAATTTTTATTTCTGATTGTATCAAAAACCTTTCATTTTGTTTTTCTTCATTTTATCTACACGCTATAGACCATGTATCAACTCGACAGCGTGTCAAACAGATATTAGTATGAATGATTTAAATGAATCCAAAGACACCTTCATTCATAAATTACAACAAGATCAGCATAATGAGCAATTAAAACAACCAAATAAACAGTTTCGTTCACGTGCATGTAATACCGAGTTGATACCGATGACAAATCAAGAAACTAATACTCGTCCACGTGGTATTCATACAACTATCACCTATTCAGATATTTCTTCAAATACTACATCTGAAGAATTTCTAGCTAAACTTGATACAGAAAAAATCAATTTAAATGAAATGGATAATTTAACTAGAGCTAGAATACGTCGTAAACTTCACGAACGCTTTAATACATTTGATCAAATTCCAAATGGTGCTAATAGCCATACTACTAATGGTAATTTAAGTACCACATCTCATAAAGGAACGCATTTATCATCAAATGGTACATCACCAGGTCCTTCAATTCAATCAACAATCAATAATTTTAATCATCATGATATTCTGCCAAGACGCTTTAGTTCATATGATAAACGTTTTCATTTTTAATTTAAACACTTTTTCTTTGAATTATACATTCAAAGTTCAAGGTTTGAATACATTTGTTTAAATTTCATTCACTCCATGAATACCCGGATGTGACTGATATTCAACTTTAATATGGTATGTTATTTTATGATTGTAATGGATGTTATAATTACTGAGTTAGTAAACATTGCAAATTATAAGATGCATTTCAATCTTACACTTTAAAAAAGTTTTAAATAAAAATTTCATCTATTAAAACTAGTTGTTTCTCTAATTGACCTCAGTCCATGATGAATACAAAGCTTAAATCAACAAATAAATCCACATAAACCTCCAAATTAAACAGTTCTGGTGCTTATTGATGACTCGCTTCGAGAGGGGATTCCTGAAGTTCTAATGAGAAGTCTTGACCGATAGGAACATGAGGATAGTTACTCAATGACGGCATTGGATGGAGGTCATGGTGTATAATGAATTGATAGAAGTAGGAGATATGGGGTAGTGGATTCCCAAGAAGTGGCTCAGTGGTAAGGCGCTGTCTACGTAGCCTGAATTTCATGGGTGTGCACTACTGAGGAGTCCCATAATATGTCAAAACAGTTGCCCAGTGCTCCCGAGTTTCCAATATTTGTCTTACTGGTGTCAGCTTACGATGAACACAAACCTGAAGACCAGTTGTTTTTTGACTCAACTGTAACTGCTTTTTGAAAAAATTAATACGCTGGGAGAAAACTAAGGGTAGATATATGCTGTAACGTAACTCAGTTTTTAGTTAATTGCTTTTTGAAGTAAAGGAGTATAGCTCTCAAAGTTATGTTTTTGAAAGGTAAGGAACTTCTTAAGCTATGGATAGGTTACGGGAGTAACGCAGTAATTAGAATGTTGTCGTAGCTGAACTGAGCAAGAAATGCAAGGACTACTACTTAAAATCTTACACGGACTCACGTGTTTTTCAATTTCAGTTAACACCTCAATTAAGGTGAATGACTGTGTCAGACAAGTATATCCCCCACAGTTTAATTACTAATCGTTACCATGAGCTGAATGCAGTTGTTTATCGTTCTTCACAGGTAAGAAAAGTGGCACTGACAGTCGACAGAGTTCAGTATCCCTTTACTTTTAATAATCATAGTTATTGTTTTATTGCTGAATAATATTTTACAAGTAAATAGAGAAGTGTTACTCACTACTGAATCTTCACTTTCTGCTTAGTTTAATGAGACTTAATAAGATGACGAGTAAATGAAGTATAGCATCAAAATTTTGAGAACATAAAGACAAGTTTTCTCTTTTCTTCTGGAAAATGCTTGGGCCAATTTTGCATGTTTTTTCTTCTCTTGACTTAACATCCTATTTACTTTAGCCCTTCAGAGTTAATTGGAAAGTTTTTAAGGACTTATAAAAGAGTAAGCTGTACTATTAATAGCAATCGAAACATGCCTGAGAAAGAATTCAAATCCTCTTCACAGTTGCCACATTATTATCATTGTTATTATTATTATTATTACTTGTCCCTTGGGTTCCTAATGGAACATAGGGCTTCACTAGCACGTATCCACTGCACTCTCTTCTCTGCAAACTTTTGAACCTGGCTCCACCAATGCCCACAAGCTCTCATTTCTTCCTCACACCATCTCCTCCATGTCAACCTCCACACCCACGCCCAACTCGCCGCTTCCCATGGGGATTCCACTCGAGGGCCTGACGTGTGATGTCCCAAAACTGTATTCTCAGTGTATGCCCAATCCATCTCCACTTCCTTCTGCATATTTGTTCAGTGAGAGGTTCTTGGTTGATTCCTTGCCAGACCAGAGTTCCTTGTTGCTTATTCTAACTATTCTGACCATCTGATCTTCAGTAACGAGCCAGCGTAGGCAGTTGTTGATGAATGTCTGTAGTTTATTGGAAATGCTTTTCGTAACGCACCAAGTCTCTGAGCCATACAGAAGCACTGACTTGACCTACATTGGTGTTGAAAATCCGGATCTTGTTCTTTATGCTAAGTACAGTGCAGTAGATCTCCACACTGGTTTCAGATTAATGAACACCTATCTTGCTGTCTTTCTGATCCTGACTTTTACGTCCTCATCTGTTCCGCCTGTAGTTGAAACAGTGCTGCCTAGATAGGTGAAGGAGGCTACTTCCTTTAAGTTTTTCCCGTTGATGGTGATTGGAGATGGTTGCTGTTGTTGATGGTGTTGGTTAGGTATCTTCATCACTTCTGTCTTCTCTACACTCACTTCACCTGAAGTCCCGCCTTCCTTCGCTGCCCTGCCTCTTCTGTCAACTTGTTACTTTTCGCCTGTAGATCTCCAAGTTTGTGTGACATCAGACACAAGTCATCGTTGGCGAAATCCAGATCTTCTAGGTTCTTTTCCGCAGTCCAGCTAGCGTATCCCCCTCTTCTTGCCCCTCACTGTTTGTTGCATGATCCAGTCAACCACAATATCATGGGTGATAGTAGGCAACCTTGTTTCACTCCTGTCTTCACTTCAAAGGCGTCACTGAGCTTCCCATTGTGAATTACTTGGCATGTGGCGTCCTCATATAGTTGTTGAATGAGATTGATAAAGGTTTGTGGCACTCCGTAGTGTTGAGGCAGCAGCTGCCAAATTACCTCTCTGTCGACGCTGTCAAAGGCCTTTTCAAAGTCAATGAAGTTGACTGGACTGCCATTCTATACTCTGTTGTATGATGATGAGTAGCGTAACGTTGTAATTTGATGCGCACATGATTTGTACTTCCTGAAGCCAGCCAGCCAGCCTGTTCCGTTAGTAGTTTTGAATCCAGAGCATCCTTTAGGCTTTCCAGGATGATGCGGCAAAATATTTTGCTTGTAGTGGACTGGAGCATGATTCCACGCCAGCTCTTGCAAAGACTTCGGTCTCCCCTCTTTGGGAGTTTGACAAGGTAGCCCTTCTTCCAATTTGCAGGTACGCTCCCTTCCTTCTAGACCTTCTGCAATAGTGATGTGAGCATGTCCGTTGTTGTCCTTGCGTCTGTTCTCAGTGCTTCTGGCGGGATTCCATCTGGTTCGGCTGTGTTCCCGGATTTCAGCAACTTTATGGCATTCAGGACCTCGACTTTCGTCGGAGGGCTTGTGTTCACCGGTAGTTCTGTGTCTGCAGGTGGTATTTCTGGACAAAGTGCAGGTGGTGTTTGCCAAATAAAGAAGATAAATCAGAACTTTTATGTAGGATTCCAAACAATCCTGAGATCCAGGTTGCATTGAGGCCACAAAAAATCACATAGAGAGGAACTTTGCAGGCTAAAATATTCAATAGACTCAATTAAGCCAAATAATCTAATCAATCAAATATCACATGATGACTGTGAGGTCAAGTTTATAGGTCAGAATAGCTGATCGGGATGAGCAGAGCACAAAATTCTAACGAAATCTAGAATTATGAACCCTACCAAAGCAAGTAATTGAGAGGAAAACTCTGCTATCACTGTGCATGCACTGACCGATGGATAATCACCCTATAGTGTCGGATAGTCTTACAATCCTTAAATCCAGTACAGCTGAGCGGAGGGAGAGATTGATTATATAATCTTTATTCGTAAAACCAGTACTTGGCACATCCATCAAGAATAATGTCTATTGAGTATTTATGAAGATTCTTATAAAATTTATTGCAGCATTTGAAGCGCCTAGTAGAAAATCATCCCGACTTAAATCCAAACAATTTTGCGATTGTTCACTAGACAGAAAATTGTGCAATAGAACAATAAACTTTAAGTCTAATACTTAAAACAGCAGAATGTTGTAGAATACATCAGTGCAACTAGTGATCCAGCTGAGGGTTCGTTAATACAAGCAATAACATAAAAACTGTACCCATCTCACAAGAAGTGGTTATCGTAACTCTCTCCCGAGTCCGAGTCCTGGTGGGAACAACATCATTCACTGGGAGGCAAGTACATCCAGCTGACGAGTTCCGAATAGGACGAAATGCGCATCTTGAATTCCACTGCCAGCCACTACTCATCATTACTATACAATTGAGAAAAGTGTTAAAATGCTTGAATAAAGGACACCAATCAATTCAACGGCGTCTACCCAGGTACTTTTATTCCGAACCTCAAGATTTGTAGGTATCGACAGTTCAAAATGCCTTTACTGTCGTTTCACGTTCGTAATTTAGATCTATTTGTCCGTTTGACAGTGAACTTTCAGACGACTAGTTTGTCATTTTTTATGTATATCAGGTTAATTCACTCACTGATGTTCATCATTCCATGTTAATTTCAATGATCTTGTAGTGCACCTTCCTGGCACCAAAATGCAACTAGGGCCAAAATAAATAGATTAAATTAAATTAAGTAAATAAATCTCTAGCTCGCCTTCGGATGCTGTAGGTGTTTTAAGCTTTGTTTTAACGAGCATGCATCCGAGCAGGCTTTGGCTCTATTTCGGGCTTCCTTTGTGCTGGTTAGCACTCACATCCTCGGAGTTCCTAGTTCAGTCATACTAGCCAGATAAGTTGAAGAAACTTTTCCCCTCTTTATTACTATTACATTTATTCCAACTAAATATATTGCTTCTTCTAATATATTCCTGAAACCAGTTCTTTTGATTTATGTTTCCTTATCAGTGCTTACACGTTAGGTAAGGTACTGGTAAAGCAGGTGGAAGAGCACATCATGTAGGGTCAGCCAAACATTACGTAATAGTAATACAACCAATGTACCTTAAAATCTTCATCTTGTACATAATTGGCAAGATTATCATCGCGAAATTACTGTGGTTTCAAAATAATACTGTATCATATGAAAACATGAGTAAAGCCTGCAATTTGATAATTTATATATGTATGTTTGATAAATGCAGACTTTACCTTACGAGTACTAAACTAGTTTATGCTGCTTAGCACAATGACAGAATTATTTAGGCTCTTTAAATCATGATTCTAATCTTAATTGCTTGGTCTTAAAGTTTCTGACTTTGGTACTAATTTGTAATACCAAGAATCACAGGGAAAGCGCTAATTAAGTACCTCATGACTGCAGGTGCGCTT